ACCCAGGCGCCCATGGGTTCTCTTTATTTCTTACTAGGCAATCTCTCATTATGCCAGATCCCTATTAACTATTATTATAGTTAATAATTCTTTATATTAAATTTTTCCTGTTCAAATTACCACGTGGGTTCTCTCTTTCTTGATTGGACCCAGGCTGATACAAATTCCTAGAAGCAAAATAAAAACAAAACACCTTTTTAACTTGAAGATACCTTACTGGGCACTTGATAAAAGCAGCAGTTTCCATGACAAAGAGTGTTTACTGATACAGAAATAAAATATAGGGGCACCTGGGTGGCACAGTTGGTCAAGCATCTGACTGTAGATTTTGGTTCAGGTCGTGATTTCATGGGTTGTGAGATTGAGCCCCATGTCAGGGTCTGTGCTCAGTGGGGAGTCTGCTTGAGATTCTCTCTTTCCCTCTCCCTCTGCCCTTCTCCCCCCTCTCAAATAAGTAAATAAATCCTTAAAAAAAGAAGAAATAAAATACAGTATATAAAGAAATGGAAATAATTTACACATTTGGGATTTATATGACTGAGCAAAGTAAGAGCATGGAGATTTTTTCTGATGCTTTTCTACAGATATAAACAGTTCAAATAATCATAACCATATTTGTTTACTTTTGGATAAGCAAGATGTATACCTTTTATTATGTTAGGAGGGTCTCTGCAGTGCCCTTAAATTTGGCTTAATTGAAAGTTAAATTCAGGAGAACCAGACAAGCAAATGACTTATAAGCATTCCTTTCTTTGGTAAAACCTACTGTCATCTTTAAGAAAACTACATTTTCAAAACCTGATGTCATCTTTAAGGAAACATTTCTTAATTGTTTAACTAGAAAACTAGAATTGAAGGAGACTAGTTCTATAAAAGTACAGTACAGTAGTTAAGATCATGGGCAAGTTATAGCCCATCTCGGTTGTGCAGAAGAGTGGTATGCAAGAGGGTATAAAACCATGCAAAATATGACTTGTTGAAAAATACAGAACATGTACAATAAAGATCACCTCTCACTGTTAGGTGAAGGGGTGTTAGGGAACAAGATATCCACACAGTACCAAACTATCAGCCACCCAGATTATTTACTAATTTCAAAAGGGAAAATGGACATTTTCAATTGCAAGATGGGGCAGCCACCACCTAAAGTCTTCAAACATGGCCACAGTAACAGGACAATCTAATGTGTTGCACTATGAACCACAGATTATCACCTTAAAGTATTCCTATCAAAAATGTCTAACTTGCCTATTACAAGAAAGATAGAGGATAGAGGAGAGAGTTAAACAGCACCCTGAGGAAATAATCAGACAAATCCTGATTGTGAGCCGTTCTACAGGTGGGGCGACTGGTCTACATCAAAAGGGAGTAGAGAGCAATGACATCAGCAAAATGATGGAGCTGGCAGCTCCAAGCGCTAAGTACCTCTCAAGAAACAAACAAACAAAACCAGCAGAAATTGTGAGCACCAGGGAATCTACTAGGGTGGCTATAATTAAAAACAAACAACAATGGAAAATAAGTGTTGGCGAAGATGTGGAGAAATTGGAATACATTGCTGGTAAAAATGTAAAATGAGGCAACTGCTGTGGAAAAGTTTGCCAATGTCTCAAAAAGCTAAAGATAGAAATACCATATGACCAAGTAATTCCATATCTTGGTAGAAACTCAAAAGAATTGAAAACAGAGTGTGATGGTGAATTTTCTGTGTCAACTTGACAGGGCCACAGGGTGCCCAGATGTTTGCTTAAACATTATTTCTGGGTATATTTGCCAGGGTGTGTCTGGATGAGATTAGAATTTGCATTGGTAGACTGAATAAAGCACATGGGCCTCCCTATTGTGGCTGAGCATCAACCGAACAAAAAGGGAAAGCAATGGAGAATTGGATCTCTGCTCCACTCCTTGAGACATCAGTCTTCTGCCCTCTGACTTGGATTTACACCATGGCCTCTCCTAGTTTTCAGGCCTTTGGACTCAGACTGGAACTATATCAGTGGCTTCCCCAGGTCTCCAGCTTGCAGATCATGGAACTTCTCAGCTTCCATAATTGAGTGGGCCACTTCCTTATAATTCTCTTTCTTCTCTCTGTGTGCACACATACACACACATACACACATACTGACTAAACATAGGGATTCAAACAGATACCTGTAACCAATGTTCATTATTCACAATAGCCAAAACTTGGAAACAACCCAAGTGTCCATCAACAGAAGGATGGGTAAACAAACTGTGGCATGTACATACAATGGAATGTTATTTGGCCATAAAAGGGAATGAAGGACCTATGCATACTACAACATGGGTGAATCTTGAAAACATTATGCTAAGTGAAAGAAGCCAGACACAAAAGAACAAATATTATATTGAGATAGGGAAGTTAAAGGGATCCCATTAAGGACTGCTTTTTTCGCTGCCTCTGTTCTTGCTAGGACCTGCACCCCTGCCTTACACATGCCTTAATGTATGTCCTCCTTGTAAAGGTCAAGGAGTTAATGATTTCTTTGGAGTCTTCTAGCACAATAGATAACATCTAAGGAGTGACGCAGCAAGGTTAGGTTGTTATGTATGTTTTCCAAGACCACTGACTCCAGACACCTTGATGCCAAGACCCCTGGCTCTAGGGCCTAAGTGACTTATGGAGGACACCTGAGCACTTGTCCTTGTTTTGACCAGTTCCTGGATGCCTTGAGAAGACACATACACCGGACCAGAAGCGAAGATGATACTCTCCTTTCCTTTACTATTTAATAAACTCTGCTCTCACTTCCTCTTGGCTCACATTTGATTTCCATCCTTTGCAAAGCCAAGGACCCTCTTGGCTGGTTCTGTGGGACCCCATCTGGGTCCTTGGACCTGGCCAGGCTATATCAGTATGAACCCATTTATACAAAGTATCTAGAATAGGCAAATTCATAGAGACAGAAATGAGATTAGAGGTTACCAGGGGGTTGCAGGGAGGGACAAATGGGGAGTTATTGCTTAATGAGTATAGAGTTTCTATTTGGGTGATAAAAAAGTTTTGGAAATACATATTGGTGATAGTTGTACAACATTGTGCCACCGAATTGTACACTTGAAGATGGTTAAAATGGTAAATTTTATTATATTTCCACAATAAAAAATAAAAGATGTAGAGATTTGCTAAGAATTTACTAATAAATATACTATGTTGTTATTCTGGGTGGGGGAGAGACAGAGAGATGATATTTAACAACCAAATGTGATGTGTACTCCTTGGTTGACTCTAGCTTTCTAAATAAAAATCGATCAAAGATATTCTTAGGGTAAGTGAGGACTATTAAAATACAGGCAGAACATTATTAGATGTTATCATGAAATTGCTAATTTTCTTAGGTACAATAATGGTGCCATGGTTATATAAGAGAACTTTCTATTCCTAGGAGATATATGCTTTAGTGTTTAAGGGCAAAGTGTTATAACATCTGTAACTTGCAAAGAGTGATGCAAAAAAAGGTGTGTGGTAGGGGGCAATGTATGGGTGTGCCTGCCCCCATGTGTGGAGAGAGAGAGCAAGAGAGAGAAAGCATATGTGGCAAAATTTTAACAATCATCAAATCTAGGTAGAGGATATATAGGTGTTTATTGTACCCTTCTGTCATTTTTTATTTAAATGTTTTCATAATAATAAAACTTAGAAACAAAGTAACATTTTGAAAGTCACACCACTGTATCTCCCAGAAATACTCCTGTTAACATGTTGGTTTAAATCTTTTTGCCTTTTTTTTCCCTACACACAGGTAAGTATTCCTTAAAAAATACACACACACAAAAGCAAGGGATCAAATGTACATTGGTACATGTTCATTTATTCAGTCAAGTTAATTAACAAATGTTTATTTAAGTATATCTTCCACAGAGCAGGTACATAAAGGAATATTAAAAGATCTCTGAGTTTTCACAGAATGTACCCTGAGAATTCAACGTGCCTCATTCATTACAACTATAGTTTGTAAAAATCTTATGAGCAGACAGATGAAAAAAACTGTGAACTTTTAGTAATTGCATTATAATCCTCATCATGAAATAGCATTCCGTCAAATTTAATAAAGTTGTTGGCATTTTTAATTTTTGCTGTTCTTTCATTTCACAATTATTTACTGTCTACACTGTTCAGTGTCACATGCTGCAGCTACGGAGGTATGTAAGACACCAACTGCCTGCCCCTCCGAAGCTCACTCTGACACAGGATCTTAAATGCATTAGTACGGGGATCAGAAGGGCAGGGATGGGGGGAGGGCGCAGAAAATGGGTTCCTGATTTACCCACTAGTGGATTCCAGGGGAGCTTCTTGGAGAAAATGACGTTTAAATTTAGATTTTTAAGAATGAGCCGGAGTTAGACTCATAAAACACTAGCTCGGGACACCGGCTCTGGGGTTCAATTGTTTGATAGTCCGTGGACGAGCTGCTTAACCTCTCTGTGCCTCAGGGATAATGTTGTAAAGCTCCAATAATAGACAAAGTGCTTAGATCTCTGTATGGCACAAAAGAGCTAAATTTATTGAGTACTTGTGGATTGTTTCAATTTAAAAAGTTATAACGTACCCGGCCTCATGCGGAGGTCAAAGCCAGAAACAAGACAAATGCTGTACCCGGCCTAGGAGTCTCTCCCCAACACCCTGCCCTCCAACTTATTTTATACCCAAATAACCTCTCTTGCAAATATAAAATATGGAAAAGTGTTCATTTCCTAAAAGGTTTATGCTTTTTGTTTCTCCATATTTTTGCTACCTACACCTGAGCTGAGGCACTTCTCTGAGAGCTCCGAGTGAACTCGGGGTGCGACAACTCCGAGGAACCAACGCCCCCAGTACCCAAGTGTCAGGGCGGAGAGCCTCAGGCCTGGCGGCCGGGGGCGATCGCCCCTGCAGCCTCGCCCCCGCTGAGCGCACCCGCCAGCACGCCCAACTTTGATTGGTCCGTTCTCCCGGCTCGCCGGTATCACTGTGTCCAATCGGCGCAACGCTTGTTGAGCGGCGGCGGCAACCGGCGTACACAGGGGTTACGCGTCCTGTGGAGAGCGCGAGAGGTCAGGCCATGAACCTGGGGTAAGCTGGGCCGGGAAGGGTGGTCTTTAGCGAAGACGGACGGGATAAAGCTGGGTTGGCCCTTGGAGCCCTTCGTGGAACACCTTCCCAGCTTGCGCCCGGCTCCCTGAGGCGGAGGGGGGCGAGGGGCCCGGGACGGCCTTTGCTGCAGCCGCTGTCGCTTTTCCACATCCTAACGGGGTAAATCTGCTCGGGACCTCATTTCCGCCCTCTCATTGACCTCAGGGTGGAAAGGGAGAAGAGGCGATAAGCGGGGAGGGCAGATGGAGAGATAAAGCTTAGCGGCTTCCCGGGAGAAATCCTGGCCCAGGCCCCCGTCCTTAGCGCCTCTGGCTTTGGCGTCTTTGTAGGCGTCATGTGTACGCCCAGATGAGTTTAACGCTCGTAATGCTAGGAACCGGGTGTTGAGGAATCGATGCACTGCTAGTGCTTGGTCCTTAATAGACCCTCGTTAAGTAGTGGTTGAATAAAAATGACTGTTGCAGGGTTTTCACCACTGGGAAGTTTGATATTTTAAGAAAAGTCACCAAATTCAGACTGTCGCACATCATTTAGCAAATTAATTTTGTGTCCTAGAATGTGGAGAGAGAAAAATAAGACATCTGCCCCAGAAGAAGTTTCCGGTGCAATAATGCTGAACAGACGTACTTTTCGGGTTCATTCTTTTGTTTGTTCAGTTTCACCGACCTAAACGTGAACTGTTCTAACCCTGCCCCAGGGAAACCTTTAAAACCCATTTTTTCCAGTGCTTTACCTTGATAAGTTTAAGTTGGGGTATTTTGATGGCCTCTACTGAGCAACACTGCAAATTTCGTTGTTCCCTAATCAGATCTTTCCCAACCTGTCTCTTCCTTGTCTGGCCCGCTGGATTTAATTTTGTCTCTTGGACATCACTTATGTCCCTACTGATGTTTAATGACACACACCTTTCCCCCCCTCTCTTAGGAAACAGTGATTAAATGTGGACTGTTTTTGTTTTCAGTGGAGTTTTTATTAGGATCTTACGTTCAAGTTTCCTTGGCAGTGTCTCCTGTTACTTTGTGCTCTTGCATTGGACGTGGACAAATAAATTAGAGCAGCCAAAGTTTATTACAGATTTATTGTTGTGATAGTAACAAACTGTCGCTGTGCTCAAAAAGTTAACGATCCTGGTGGCAATGTAATAGTTCACTTTCAAATTAACGCTGTAGCATGCGTAGAATGTGTTAGTCATGAGATAATTATGAGAGACTAGTAAATAGTTAAATACATTTTGCTCCTTTAACTTAGGTGGGGAGTTTTGGTAACAGCACTTTTTTTTCCAGTCTAGAGTTGTAAGAGTTAAATAATGCTGTGATGATTGGATTTATTGCTTATCAGTAAGAAAATGAAGTGTCATGTTAAAGATAACAAATTCTTTGCATTATTGGAAAGTTTCAGGAATTTTCTCCCTCTATTGTTTAGTTTTATCTCGGATTGGAAAACGTTTTTTATTAAAAGAATGGCTTACTGTTTACAAGATTCCTGTATAAATTCAAAAGAACATATTTACTTTCAAGATACAAATGAGCGGGGCGCCTGGGTGGCTCAGTCGTTAGGCGTCTGCCTTCGGCTCAGGTCATGATCCCAGGGTCCTGGGATCGAGCCCCGCATCGGGCTCCCTGCTCCGCGGGAAGCCTGCTTCTCCCTCTCCCACTCCCCCTGCTTGTATTCCCTCTCTCGCTGTGTCTCTCTCTGTCAAATAAATAAATAAATAAAATCTTTAAAAAAAATTAAAAAAAAAAAGATTCAAATGAGCGTTTCATTTCTATTTAAAATGTTGCTGCTTCTTAAAAATGACAACTTTCTTTTATTTTGCAGAGATGGTTTAAAGCTTGAAACTGAATTGTTGGATGGAAAAACCAAGTTAATATTGTCTCCATATGGTATGCTGTGTTACCAGAAATCTAAAATATTAACTTTTAAATTCCTACATAAAATTTATACGAGTTTAATATACTTTTTGCTTGTAATAGAGTAATATTTAAATGATATTTTACAAAAAGCGGTTTTTTGGCTAACTTTCTCAGATTTATTTTTAGCCAAGTAAAGTCAGATTACATCACTGCTTACCACTGTCAGTATTTATTCATAAAATTTAATGCTTCAGTATATTTCATGTTTAATATGTTGCCTAATGAATAATTTAGGTAAAATCTTTGTAATTATGTTCTGTGCATGTAAAGTGTGTTCTAGAAAATTAAATTTGTAATAAGCCCACAGTTGCTAAAGTCATTTTTAGTATTAGTTTTAAAACTCCGTATATTTGGTAGTCCTCTTTTTCACATTATTTTCTTTTTCTCTGATCTGTTTATAGTTTTATCTTGGAAAATAAACAAATGAAATAGAAATACTTGCACTACACTGTAAAAGTTAGAACACTCAAACGGGGCCTAAAGTTAATGCATTGGGGGTTAATATTTATAGTATCTTCTTAAAACAATGCTAATTAAAATTTTCCTTTGTGACTGCCTTAGTATGTTTTTGTTTGATAGTTAAGTAATTATTGTTTTCTTTTGTAGAATGTAAATCAAAAAATTCTGTGAAGGTAAGCCAAATGACGTGACCTGGTTTTTGAATGTAAAATGTGGTTTTCTTTACAGTGGTTTGAAAATAATTCCTGTCAATATATTATAAGGGGTATGGGATAATGATGAGAAGTTATTGTCTTGCTTTCAGGCTGGTCCTTTCACAGAAATAGGATCATAATTTTTCAGTTTAAAAAGTCATATAGAACCTCTTGTCTCTAGATCAGTGCTGTCCAATAAATCCTTTTGTGATGAGGGTAATGTTCTAAGATCAGTGTTTTCCAAGATGGTAGCCAGTCACTAGTCATGTGTAGTTATTGAGCACTTAAAATGTGGCTAGTGTGACTAAGGAAGTGAATTTTTCATTTTATTTAATTTTTAATGTAAATTTAGTAGTTACTATGCTGGACAGTGCAGTTCCTGAGATCTTTAAAAATATATATTCACACTTTAAAATGAAAATATTTTTTTTTTCATACTCAAATTCCATTTTCCCACACCAAAACGGTGTATTTGATTCACCAAATTCGTATATGCATTTTGCTTTCTCCTTTAAGAAATCATATTTGAGCTTAATGATAATTTTCCTTTTAAATTATTTTTATCAGGAACCCAAAATGCCTTTACCACTTTAACAGCTTTCTGATATCCTACTTTTCTTGTTCTTTATTTCTTTTTCCATTTTTAGATTACTATCAGCAGAAATTTCAACTCTCCCACAATTTACTGTAGCCCTCTTTTATCTTTGTAACAACTTAGTCTTTCTTTGTGTATCTTGAATAGAACTCAGTTTGGATGATGTGGCACCTTTCACCTCTGAGCTCTTGATGACTTTGCTGTTTTTTCCAGGTTTAATCAAGGTGAAGTTGCTTGAGTATCCAGCATAAATGGGTGACGATAATCAGAGTAATTCCACATGCTACTTATAAAAGTTATTTCTTTCTAAATATGGTATATAGCTATATACTTTGTGTGCTTTTTTTAGTCACAATACAAATTGTATATTTTTTCCTGGTCCTGCACTATTTTTAAAAAAAAAAATTTTTTTTTTAAGATTTTTGAATTTATTTTAGGGGGCGGTGAGGAGGGAGAGGAGACTCTTAGCAGTCTCCACACTGAGTGCGGAGCCCCACATGAGGCTCTCGGCTCAGTCTCACGACCCTGAGATCATGACCTGATCCGAAACCAAGAGTCGGATGCTTAACTGACTGTGCCACCCAGGCGCCCCAGGTCCTGCTCTATTAAAATATTGCAACTAATTATTATATTTGAATCACATTAACAAATACTGCACCCCTTTTTGAGATCCCTAGATAAAAAGCTGCTTGTCGTAGTTGATTTCCATATTCCCCTGGCCTCTGTTCTCTTTTACCTTTTTCCCCTTCTATTGATGTCTTTTTTTTTTTTAAAGATTTTATTTATTTATTTGAGACAGAATGAGAGAGACAGAGAGCACATGAGAAGGGGGGAGGGTCAGAGGGAGAAGCAGGCTCCCTGCTGAGCAGGGAGCCCGATGCGGGACTCGATCCCGGGACTCCAGGATCATGACCTGAGCCGAAGGCAGTCGCTTAACCAACTGAGCCACCCAGACGCCCCTATTGATGTCTTTAATGGATTTGCTTTAATCACCACATTTGTGAAGACATTTCATTGTCTTTTTAACCAATTTAATATGGTGGTCTCCTTTCATGCCTATAACAAAATTACTAGTTTTGGACTTTTGATAGAATCATTACAAGATTCTACTAGCAGTCTAGAAATGTTTTATTCTAGGATTCTTTTTTCCGGAATAATGTGTCTCAGCCGATGTTGATCTTAAATTATTTACTGTCTTAGAGCAAATTGTTTGGTTTTATTCCTCTTGTTTTGGGGACTTCAGAATACTGATGATGGTAACTATGTGAGGTGATGGATATGTTAATTTGCTTGATTGTGGTGACTATTTCACAGTGTATGCATATGTCAAATCAAGTTGTACACCTTAAATATATACAATTTTTAATTGTCAATTATACCTTAATAAAGCTGGAAAAAAAATACTGGTGCAACTTAAGTCTCCCTTCTATATTGATTTTATTTTAAGGAGCTTCTCTTCCCATATTTATAGGGGTTGCTGAAATCCTCCTCATTTCTTTCTTTGCTCTTTACAGAAGACAAAAAAGCAAAAACAGTAGTGCTTGTCTTTTTTTGCTTAAATCTGTTTTTTAATCTCCCAGATCTCAGTTCTGCAGCTATGTGTTGGATTCTCGTTTCCATAAGTTATTGGTGAATTCTCTTTTCATGGTGCTTTTCTTTTTCTACTGGGAGAAGTTCCTGAGTGACTACAGCACCTACCTACAGTTCTGGTTTTCCCCTTCCTCACAGGTTGAATTACTGTCATGCTCATAGTGTGCTCTTTAGACACAACTGAACTCTCATCATCATCAAGTTTAACACATGTGTGGTCAGAGTACTTTCTTAATTTTTTCAAAATCCCTTCTGTATTTTTTTAAATCTGTGGTAAGGAGTATGAAGTAAAGATGGTTACCTATAAGGAGGAGAAATGAGAGAAATATTAATGATTCAGTGTCATGAATAATTTATAATTCCAAATTCTTATGCTTAAAATTGTCTCACAGGTTAGTTGAAATATAAAACGTTAAAAAAATATTTTTCACAGGAATTTCTACATGTGAGAATCAGAGTAGTGACACACTAAAGGGTGTATACAATATTAGTGTTAGGTAGCATATTTTATAATTTAAAATGTTATTTTCTCTGATTCTAGCCTTGGGATCCTGGCCCAATATAAATGATAAACTCAGCCAATATTAAACAAATGCATTGGACTTTGTTTATATTATGAAAAATATTGGTAGAATTAAAACTAGTTAAAAGAGCAACTTGCTACTTAAAAATGTTTATGACATGAAGACTCTTCTTTGATCTATTAAAATTTACCTGATCCAGTAAACACTTGGGGAATTATTTGGGCTAGATTGCTTTTTATTATTAAGTAACCTGAATATAATTGAATATTTATTTGGTAGTTCATGATTTTTTGCTGGCCCCATTCATTGTTTTTTTCCTGCCGTTTAGCTACAAAAAATAGGGGCCGCCTGGGTGGCTCAGTCAATTAAGCATCCCACCCTTGATTTTGGCTCAGGTCATGATCTAAGGGTTGTGAGATCAAGCCCTGCTTTGTGCTCCTAGCTGGGTGTGGAGCCTGCTTGGGATTCTCCCTCTCCTTCTGCCCCTCCCCCCCTGCCCCCAAAAAAGTAATCAGAATTGAGCTGAATGTATATGGACCTCATGCCAGGGCATTGTCCCCTCTCCCCTTCTTATTAAATATTTTTAGAAGATTTTTTTGGTATATTTTTTTCTTTTGTAAGTGGAATGTAGCAGGATAATTCTACTTAAATTAGAGCTCCAATTAGTAGGTTTCTATTTAACAAGGATTTATTAAAGCTGTAAAATTGTAGTGGGGTGCCGTTCTTGGCTGTATTTCTTCTATGACAGAGGAAAAAAATGAGTAAAACCTAGGCCTTGTTTTCTGGAAGTGATGATATCAGTCAGGTAAATAACTATACAATACAAGTAGACTATAATGTATGCCATGGTAGGATTATAAAAGGCAGAGAACACTGCAAAGAGCAGCTCTTTGTGGCTTGAGGAGACCAGGGAAAGCTTTGTAAAAGGAGGTGGCATTTAAATTAGAATTTAAAAGATGAGGCTGTTATTTATAGGTAAGGAGGTATGGGAGTGTATTCTAAGCTCAGAAAATAGTGGGCAAAACACCAAAATAGCATAATTTGCATTTGGGGAATAGTGTGTATCTTGGGGAAGTGTAGAACATTAAGCTTGGGCGGGGGGGTTACAGTCTTAGAGTTTAAATGTATACTCACAGAGTTTGAACTTCCTTGATTTGTGTGTAGGGAGCATTAAAGAATTTTTGAAAAGCAGAGTCCATACAGTATAATTTGTATTGTAGGAAAGGGCTTCGGACAGCTTGGTGAAGGACAGATGATAATGGGGAGACCGGTTATGGGCCAGTTACAGTTCAGGAAGAGTCTCAGGAGTTCCTGAACATGTTTAGTGGTTAGTGAAATGGAAAAAAGGAGACAGAAATGAAAGACTTCCAAGATATGTAATGGTATGCACTGCACTTAGCAGTTTGAGCAACTGATTAGAGATGTGAAATACTCAACTATCAGTGACCCAAAAAAGGCCAGTATGAGTCAAAGAAAGGTGACATCGTAGTTAGAGACAGGTGGTATGACTGGGCAGTATAAGCTACGTGCCATCTCCTGATAATTTGCTTAATCCACATACTGGCTTTCAAAAACTAGAGTGAACTGTCAGTATCTAAAAATAGGAAAATTTAATGTAGAATCTGGCATTTTTGGTTCTCTTGAAGTACTGGGTAATCTAGCAAGTAGACTCAGATTCCTGTTTGGCGGTGTAGGCTGGTTCTGAATGGTGGCTGCCTCCTTTAGATAGAAAAATGCTCTTCAGCTCATCCCAGTTCCTACCAAGCCTAATTTACAGTAGGTATTTGAGGTTGCCACCTCTCACTTAGAGAATTAGTTACATTAAAATAGCCTCAGGGGCACCTGGGTCGCAAAGTCCATTGAGCGTCTGGCTCTTGATTTTGGCTCGGGTTGTGACCTCAGGGTTGTGAGGTCAAGCCCTACATCAGGCTCTGCACTCATTGCGGAGTATGCTTGAGACTCCTTTTCTCCCTCCCCCTCAGTCCCTCCCTTCCCCCTCGAAAATAAATCTTTAAAAAACTTTTTAAAAATCGCCACAAGTTGGATGGGTAAAAAGGCATTTTACATTGTGGTATTGGCATTATCAAAAGCCTAAAGCCAGGAACAAATAGGATGTAGATGAGATGAAGAGGATAATAAACAGATCTTGTGGCTGATAGTACAGGTGTATTTTGAAAAGTAGGGTGAAATAGGATTGGTATTGGTCAAAGTATGGTTATATATTTTGTAAGTTACTGAAAGACAAGGGGAGTTGGGATATAAGCTGGGTGAAAGTCATGTGGTATCTACCTCACTCTCTGACAGCAAGTATCTTACTAATCTTTACCACTAGCACTTTTCCATATTGGTGAGCACATAAAAAGCAGTTAATTTTGATTGAACAACCATTGAATTAGTTTAATTGGGTTCGCTGAAATGTACAGTGGATTAAATAGGGGAAAGATACGAGATAGGCAGGCAGTAATCTAGTAGTGTGGTAATGAAAACCTAAATTTAGGCTTATCATCATGTAAATGGTGAGAAAAAGATATTTGGAAGGAAGAAATGACCAATACTTGTGCATAAGCTAAAGAAGACCGTGAAGGAGGATAAAGTTAAAGATGACTCCATGCTTACTGGTCTGAGAGATTAGAACAACAGTGCCACAGAAATGGGATATTTTGGAAGGGGGAACAAATATGGGAGAGAGAGATAATTCAGTTTTTAAAATAGTATAGTTGAGGATAATAAAAAATTTACTGAACACCTACTCTGTTCCACTCACTATTCTGTATTGGACAAAGTATACAAACATTTCTGCCCTAGGGAGTTTACATTGGAAAAGGGGTTGAACGGGCATACATTTAGCAAAATAAATATAGGGTGTTACAAGATGAAAAGTGCTATAGAGAAAAATAAAGGAGAGAAAGGGAAGAGGCACAGTTACTTCAGGGGCACAGCAGTCTTTGGAAAAGGGAGTGCTAGGTAGGTGGGAGTATGAGGGTAGAACAGGAAACCTGCTACAACCTCCCCCCACCCAAAAAAGGGAAGAGGAAACCTACAATTTTAAATAGGGTGGTCAGAGAAAACCTTACTGAGTCAGTGATGTTGGAGCAAAGATTTGAAGGAGGTGAGTGCATCATGTAGAATCTGAAGGAAGAATGTCCCAGTTAGAGGGATAGACTAGTGCTAAGGCCTAAAACTGGAGGTTTAGGAATAGCCAAGAAGCCCATGTGACTGGAGGCTAAGATAGAAAATGAGATCAGAGAGATCAGATGGGATAAAGTGTGAAGAGTGCACAGATCATTAGGTCTTTTTTGGTCATATTATGAAGTTCAGTTTTTCCTCCTAAGTAAGATAGGAAACCATTAGAAGCTTTTGAAGAAAGTGACATGATCTGACTTAACCTATTAAGGTACTCACTGTGGCTGCTATGTTGAGAACAGACTGGGGAGCAAGGGCAGAAGGAAGAAATCCGAAGGCTTTTCAGTAATTCAGGCAAGAGCTAATGTCTTGGAGTAGAGGATGGTAAGAGAGTTGTTCAGGAGTGGTCAGATTTAGAATATATTTTGAAGATGGAGCAAAACAAGGTTTGATGACAAGTGTGGCATATGGGACAATAGTCGATAATGCCAAAATTTTTGTCATGGGTAGCTGAGATGGGAAAAACTGGAGGAGGTTATTTAGGGGCATGTGGGATATCAAGAGTTTGGTTTTGGGCATGCTGTTTTAAATGGCTATTAATAACCCAGTGGAAGTGTTTGGATAGGCCAATGGAACCTCAAGTTAGGGGAGGAGAGGTCCATCCTGGAGACAAGTTTGGGAGTCATCAGCATATGGATAATACTTAGAACCACAAGGGTAGATGAAATTAGCAAGTGAATGAGCTAAGTTAGAGCTAAGAGATCCTGGGACTAAGCAACTTTAAGAGGTCTGGGGGAAAGGGAGCCAGTGAAGACTGAAAAGGAACAGCAAGAACCAGAATTGTGCAGTCCTCAGGAAATAGAGAAAGTGATTCAAAATGGGAGGAATAATCAACTGTGTCACATGCTGCTAATAAGTCTGGGAAGATGATCTAAGGATCAGTCACTGAATTTGCCTCGTAAAAAGTTATTAAAATGACCTTGATGAGCAGTTTTGGTGGAGTGTGGGTGAGAGCTTGGCTGGAATGGGATTGTGGGAGATGAGAAAGTGGGATCATGTATTTTTAAAGACGGTAAAGATGTGATCTAGCAGGAAAGAAACAGTTGATTCAGGAGAAAGCAAAGAATTGCTAGGCAGAGATCCCTGAGAAAGAAAGGGTTATGGGGATATCTGCAAATAACAGGAGTGTAAGCAGTTTGTATGAGTACTGATGCTTGTACAGATTTAGTGGTAGAAACTTGGAAGTTTTTTTCTGAATGCTTCTCTGTAAGATTTTCAGTGCAATAGTGATCAAGATCTTCAGCTGACAATAAGTATGAAAGAGAAAGTGTTAGTTTTGGGAAAGAGGAGAGAGTTGAAATTGTTAAAAGAGTGAGAGAGTAAATGAATTTGCAAAATGTCTAACTGCTGAGTAGCATGAAGGGCCCATTTGTTTTGGGTTATGTATTTAAGGTGAAACTAGATATTGTGGCTTTGTGTTTTTCTTCCTGAGTGCAGGCACGGAGTAGGTGAAGAGTTAGATTTTGCCAGTCTGGGGATTTGCAAAGCGTATATGTCAGAGCAGAGCAGTTGAGAATAGAAGATGGTGGTGGTTTTTGGTTAATCATGGAATTTAAGATTGGTAAAGGAGGACAAGAGGAAGGTGGTAGGATAAATAGATTATAGATCCCAGCTGAGTTAAAGAATTATCAGAATTGGGATATGCAAGGAAGTGAGCTGGGGAAAATTGGGTGTTGGTTATTGTGCCATACTTGAAACAGATTATGGAGGGATTGTAGTTAGGAGTAGTTACAAGGTTAGTATAAGCTATCACTATGAGAATGAGTAGCTGAGGTAGCATGGAGGACAAGAATATAGGAACGGAGTTCAAGGAAATGAGAGGCCAGGGAGTTGGAAGAATGATCTATGTGGATATGAAAGTACTAATAAGATAGGATTATGTGGGGTGCCTGGGTGGCTCAGTTGGTTAAGCGACTGCCTTCGGCTCAGGTCATGATCTCAGGGTCCTGGGATCGAGCCCTGCATCGGGCTCCCTGCTCTGCGGGAAGACTGCTTCTCCCTCTCCCACTGCCCCTGCTTGTGTTCCATCTCTCGCTGTCTGTCTCTCTGTCAAATAAAAAAAAAAGGAGTTATGTTAGAAGGATGTTGACCCACAAGTTAAGTTATTCAAGAAATAACTAATCTATATTACTAACTCACAGGTCTGTAGATACCTATAAAGAAAAGAGGTGGTCTGAGTGATATAATCATGACAGATTCAAAGCTGGAGTAGAATGGAGATGTCCTGTAACAACTAAAATAAAAGTTCTGTATTGATTATGTTGAAATAAAATAATTTCCAGTTGTTGTTGAAGCTTTCAATGAAGATTTGCAAAGGTTATATGTTAGTGTCTCATGGATATAGTGTCTTAACAGCAAAATGGAAAAAAATTTAGAGGCCTGACATCACAGATTATATAAAGATAATTGTTGATTTTTCCTGGGCTGTTATAAAGAATAAATTTTTGGTGTTTTAACAGATGGGAAATAAGACCAAGATTGCAAAATGTCCTTTAAGAACAAAACAAACTGGATACATTCTAAAATCAACACAAAATACTTGTATCAGGAGTGGAAAACTTTTGCAAAAGAAGAGAATGGGTTCAGAAACTTCACTGGCAAAAGGTGAAAAAAATAGTATGACTTTTTCACCCACTAAGGATTTATGCAAGCAGTATGTAGATAAAGACTGTCTTTATGTCCAGAAAGAGATTTCACCTGCAACCCCCAATATACAGAAGACTAGAAACACCATAAGTACATCTGTAGTAGCTAAACAGAAGCTTTGCAAAAAACCCATCACAGCTGAAAATATGAAGAGCAGTTTGGTGTGTCTAACACAAGACCAACTACAACAGATTTTGATGACTGTGAACCAAGGAAATAAATCCATTTCCCTGATTGAAAATGGAAAGGAGGAAACAAGTAAGGTTTTTCTGAAGTTTTAATTTTTAATATTAATTTTACCAGTATGTGTTTTAGAATTTTTCATTCTACATAACTGTGCCTCTGAAATTCTAATTTACCATGTAACAATCTTTTAAAATATTCTTTTAGAGAACATTCTTGTGCAAAATTACTTTCAATAAAAGCTATAATATGCCGTATTTTAAGGTTAATGCTCAGAATATTACAGTCATGGTACCATAGCCTTAAGAAACCCAGTTCTGTGGACTCTAAAGATCTTAGTACAAAAAGATGTTGTACTTATTCCAAAATGTAGAAAGCTTTACTTACATTAAAAATAATTATATAAAATGTTGTAAAAAATCACTATAATATTTCTAGTGAAATTGAAGGAACCTTTGAACATTTGACTTGAGTTGCTGAAAAGGATTATTTTCCTGGCCCCTCCATTGTACTTGTCCTGACCCTTAATCCATGCTAAGGATTGGCAGCACTATCTTTTTACCCAATATAAAATACAGACTTGGGGCGCGCTTGGGTGGCTCAGTTGTCAAGCATCTGCCTTCGGCTCAAGTCATGATCCCAGGGTCCTGGGATCGAGCCCCGCGTTGGGCTCCCTGCTCTGCGGGGGGTCTGCTTCTCCCTCTCCCACTCCTCCTGCTTGTATTCCCTCTCTCGCGCTCTCTCTCTCTCTCTTTCTATCAAATAAATAAAATCTTTAACAAAAACAATACAGACTTGGAAGGAGTAGAAGAATGTTACAGGTCTTCTGTTTCATTAGGGCATTGTATTATGTTTTTAAAAGTCTTCTGATTTCTTTAGCTTTGAGCTAAGGAATTAATGAGTAGAAATGTCATTAAAATTTTGTTAGGCTATAACGAAATAAATAAAAATAACATTAACAGTCACCAGGAAGAGGCCCCACAACTGATTTGGGGACCAGGTAGCTTCTATACATTCCCAAAGTCTTCAAGGTGGAGTAATTTATCTTGTCTTGGTCTAGATTATTCTTTGTAAAATGAGGGAGCTGGGTCTTTAAAGCTAGAATTGTAGCCTAGAGAACAAAAAATAAAAACTTACTACGTATAATGAGAGAGAATATCAATATCAACAAAGTTGAAGGCAGAATTTGTCTGATCATATTAAATACACTTTCTCCTCATTGGGAAAACTAGCACATTAAGAAGACTTAGAACAATTTCTGAGCCAAGCATAGGAGCCTGTATAAAACATTTGGAATAGATACAACGGAGGCGTAGAGACAGTGGTCCATAATAAGTTTTCATTGATTTTCCAGCTAAATGAGAAAAATAAGGACAAGGTAATGAGTTTTTCATAAACCTATTTGCATTCTTTAAGTTGTGATTGGTGTTTTATATTATTTGTAAAAATACTGTCAGCAAGAGTAAATGGAAGTTTTTTTGTTGTTGTTTGTTTTCATATTAGACACGAGGTTACATAGCAATGGCCGTATCTCTGGACCATTTAACCTCTGGGCTCAGTTTCCTTTTTTGACAAAAGGGAATCATAATACCCACTGAAGGACTGTTGTGAGAGGTGAATACTTTGGTAATGTGTAAGGCAGTGTTTTTAAAGTGTGTAGCAGTATGCCAAAATAAGGTATTGTAATACATGCAATTTTAGTGTTCATTTTAAAACACGCATTTTTACCTCCTAGGTCAGGGCAGTCTACGTTTAAACAGTATTTCCAATCAGCCAGAGGATGAGAACGTTATGGGAGTATTCCAAAAAACTGAGGCTCTTTCATCTGTCCTGGATGAAAATAAATCCGTTTTAAATAAAAATCAAGAGACATCTAAGCAGTATGAGCAGAAAATTGCCATGTATGTAACTCATATCTGTTATTGTGGAGTCATCTTGTGAAAATGGTTTTGCTTTTCCTTGACTTTTCATGTGAAATATTTACTCTGAAGACTGAGAGCTATTTAAGTTTATTACTTAATATTTATGGAGTAGCTTGTATAGAAACATACAAGATTTCTGTTATTTTTTGTGTTGTTTTAGAGAGAATGTATGGAAACCAGCTGACATATTCAGTACTCTGGGGGAAAGAGAACGTGACAGAAGTTTGTTGGAAGCAAAAAAAGCCCAGTGGAAGAAAGAGCTTGGTAGGTAATTATTACACCTTTTATTATAGTTTTGTTGCCTTAAGAATATATATTGAGGTTGAACTATATCTTTCAGTATGATACCATAAAAAATCTTGTTTTATAACATTTGTCATCTATGAGACTGACGCGCTACCTACTGCGCTAACGAGGCACCTATAACATTTGTCATCTAGACTAGTTTGCTGCAATATGTAGAAAGCTTTGTGGTTTTATATTCCTTTAGGTTGTGTCTTTTTGTCTGGTAGTCTCTTAGTGTGTACAGGAAGACCGGAGGTGAGCAATAAGCATTAATGTCATCAGTATCATTCTGGAGGTCAAAGATTCCTAAACTTTTCTCATTTCCTGAGAATTCATTTTCATATTTTTCCATTATAGAAATCCTATGGATTTAAAGATGGTTTTATTTAAAAATAGAGTTCATTCTTTAAAATAAAACATTCTGATCAAGAATCATTAATATGGTATCAGTAAGTATATTCCATACTAAAACAAACTTACTGCTTTTTATCAGCCTATAGACCTTATAATAAAAATTTATCATTTCTGTTAAGGTCTTAAAATATTGATAGTAACTGGGGCACCTGGGTGGCTCAGTTGGTTGAGCGACTGCCTTCGGCTCAGGTCATGATCCTGGAGTCCCGGGATCAAGTCCCACATCGGGCTCCCTGCTCAGCAAGGAGTCTCCTTCTCCCTCTGACCCTCCTTTCTCTCATGCTCTCTGTCTCTCATTCTCTCTCTCAAATAAATAAAATCTTAAAAAAAAAAAAAAATTAAAAAAAAAATATTGATAGTAACTAAGAAACTCTTCTTCTTGGACTAGACTAATGGTCTAGGTGTCAGAATTTGGAAAATATGTGAAGTAGCAGTTGTACTTAAGAATAGCTGTACTAGGGGCGCCTGGGTGGCTCAGTCGTTAAGTGTCTGCCTTCGGCTCAGGTCATGATCCCAGGGTCCTGGAATCAAGCCCCACGTTGGGCTCCCTGCTCGGCGGGAAGCCTGCTTCTCCCTCTCCCACTCCCCCCTGCTTGTGTTCCCTCTCTCGCTGTCAATCTCTCTGTCAAATAAATAAATAAAATCTTTAAAAAAAAAAAAAAAGAATAACTGTACTAAAAGCATAAAGATGGGCTTCACCCTCCACTCAACTAGCAAGTCCTCTGAGGCAGTCATAACGCTGCTGAAACAGGTGATAGAAAAAAAGAGATAAGCAGAAGAAATTGGGAATGAATAGATGTTGGAAGTAAAGGTAACAAAAGTTTGAAGAAATTAAATGTATGGTAGCAGTATCTGAAGGTTTGGAGATTTGATGTGTGTATATCATACTTTCAGTTTTAAATATTTTCTTTCAATTCAAATTTTCCTTATCAAACTGTAATACCAAACTTCTGAAGTTGGTTGGAACTACTTGGAAATGACTGAAGTGTTTTATGCTGTATTATCTAAAAAGTTTGCTTTCTTTTATTTGATCCTGTTAAAAGAAAAGCACATCTCTCTTTGTTGAAGTCATGCTTTCATTAATATTCTTGAAATTTAAGTTTATACATCTCTAAATTTTTAAGAACTGTTGATGATTGGGGGCCTAGTTTTTATATCAGTTTGTTAGACACAAGATTTTGTTTTTTTACTCTTCAGCAGTTATGAATAATAGTGGCTGACATTTATTACATATCTACTTTGTGCTAGGCCTTGTACTGAAATAGACACTATTCTTATTTTACAGAAGAAGAAACTGAGTTTTAGGAAGGTGAACAGCAATTTGCCCACAGTTACATAGATAGGAAGTGGTTGAACTTGTATTTGATTCTAGGGTTCTCTGAATCCAGAGGTTTATCTTTTCAGTTTCTTTTTTTTTTTTTTTAAAGATTTTATTTATTTGACAGAGAGAGACACAGTGAGAGAGGAAACACAAGCAGGGGGAGTGGGAGAGGGAGAAGCAGGCTTCCCGCGGAGCAGGGAGCCCGATGCGGGGCTCGATCCCAGGACCCTGGGATCATGACCTGAGCCGAAGGCAGACGCTTAACGACTGAGCCACCCAGGCGCCCCATCTTTTCAGTTTCTTATTATAACTGAATGAACGTTACAGGACAGTAGAACCTCATAATAATTTGCATAATATAAAATATGTTGTTCTGAAAAATTTGATTTTTATTGCTAATTATAATAAACATTTTATATCCATTTGTGCCATACTTAAGTTTGGTTCTGGTTAAATGTTTTATTCCTTATCTCTTAAAATTCTTCTCTGTCTTGTGAGTTAATCTCCCTAAAAAACAATTTTGATTAGATCTACGTTGGAGTCTGCGCTCTTTAAGGTCATGATTTGTTTACATGATTTTTTTTTTACAGTTTTTGTACATTTTTTTAAAAAGGACATTATTTGCAGATGAACAGGTTGCTTTAAAGAAGAAAGAAAAAGAAGCTTCTGAAAAACGGAACGATCTGTGGAAAAAATTTGAAAGTGATAAAATAGTATGGGAAAAATTTCAAATTCTTGACCAATCTAAGGTAAGAGTATCAAAATGAAGCATTTATGGAATATAAGACATCTTTTTTTTTTTTTTTTAAAGATTTTATTTATTTATTCAAGACACAGAGAGAGAGAGCATGAGCAGGGGGAGAGGCAGAGGGAGAGGGAGAAGCAGGCTCCCTGCTGAGCCAGGAGCCAGACGTGGGGCTCGATCTCAGGACCCTGGGATCATGACCTGAGCCGAAGGCAGATGCCTAGCCATCTGAGCCACCCAGGCGCCCCTGGAATATAAGACATCTTAATTTTACTTTTTAAAATGCTAAGCCGTGTTCATATCATAAAGCTTTTTAAAAATTATTTTTCATATGTTACTGTAAAACAATGTTATTTTGAATTTAATTATGACCTCATCTGGTCTCTCTTTGGCATTCTGTAAATTATCTTACTATGTACGTGAGTGTAGAGGCCTGAGGCACCTCGTTTAGGCTCTTGTAAAAGAGCTCTGCAATTTTTTAGATGACCACGAAACTCTACCACTGACATTGTGGTATCTGCCACAAGGTTATATTGAACATAAGTTATTACTTATCAAGCATAAGTACACACCAGGTGTCCCTTAGGTAGTGTTTTAGTGACCTTTAAATTTTGCCTGTGTTTAATATTATACAGAGAAAAAGTACCCGTGTTTTCTCTTTGTTTTTAGACTTGTGCTAGCTCTTCCAGCATTCTCTCACAGTCTCCCATTCAGATAACAATGGTCCAGGCTGATGGGCACCCACTACCTAGAGCTAGTCAGATTTTAGAGGTAAGTCATAAGTGTCATTACTTTGAATATATAAGCCCTTTAGTACTTGATCTTTATATTACCTATTTTCCTTGAAAGAGTGGACTTAACTACCAGTTAATTTTTACTGAGTGAACTATGCTCAAATTTAAAAAAGTTATGAACTGTCTCTTTTTTATATATATAGTAATTATTCCTTCCTAGTGAACATTTACATTTTAACAAATGTACTGTGAAAATAATGTAGTAACCTAAAGGGATGATTCTGATGGGAGACATTTTCAGCACTGATAGATTTCTTATAGAAATTTCCAGGTTAGATTTTTTGCATGGCTTTCATGGCTGTTTGTTCTGCTCTATATAGGGCTGACTTGCCTATATGAAAGAGTTTTATAGTTGTTAATAATTTTACATTAACAAAAGGAATGAAATCTGAATTGTACTTTTCCACATTCCTGAAAGCACTTTGACTATTGAAAGGCAATAAATTAGCCTTGATAGAAGACATTTTGCAAACATCCATAGTTATGGATGATAATTTTTTTAAGTGGGGGAGGGGCAGAAGGAGAGGGAGAGAGAATCTTAAACAGGCTTCCTGCCCAGTGTGGAGCCCGACGCAGGGCTTGATCTCACCACCCTGAGATCATGACCCAAGCCAAAATTAAGAGTTGGACACTTAACTGACTGAGCCATCCAGGCACCCCTGGATGATAATTTTAAGTGTAAAGTTTAAAAATTGATGCATGCAGATACTGCTAAAAACTACAACTAAAACTATTCATGAAATTGGTAAGAATCAGTTGTTAGCTTATTTACATTTCAATATTAGGATTGAAGAATATTTAATACTAAAAATTTTAAAGTATTTCCAGTTAGCAAAAAAAATTTAGGTTGAAATGTTAGTATATCATTTATATTGCTTAATTTGCGCCATCTGTGAGTAATTCATACTATGATTGTTAATGCAAATAAATAGCCATTTGAGGTGACTTTTAGGTGTTTTTACATTTTGTATATATTTTTAAATGCTAGCATACATCTTTTTTTATAATCCAAAAAAACCAATAAAATTATATTTTGCAGTAGAGATGGGAGTTGGGGATGGGAGAAGGACTAGAAAGTAAAACACACACTATAAGGCTGGACAACCAATGGTTAAAGAGTATGATTATCTACTCATTCTCAGAGTATTTAAATGCAGTTTTTATGCATTTATGTATGCATGTGTTAAGATATTGGAGAGATGCTATTGAGGGGAAATGAATTTAACCGTATAACTAAAAAACCCCCCTTCTTAAATGTCTAAAAACAGTTGGTTTCAGAGATCCAAGCCATAGCCAGAACTATTTATATTATTTGAATATCAGGTTAACCTTTTCATGTAATTAAGAGGAGCAGAAATTTAGTTGGAGGCAGAGTCACCAAGGCCAATTTTGTTAAAACACAAGGTAATGCATATAAAGTGCTTAGAACAGTGACTGACAAATAGCAAGTGTTCAATGAAGGTTTACTCTATTTGTAACGTACAAAGCATATCCATCTGGGGCTGTGAGACTGTTTAGGGTCAGTCATCTCACCAGCTTCCCTTCCTCTCTTTTCTTGATTCTCAATCTAACCCCTCCTCCCCCAGTGGAATGGCCCTGTATTCTCATCCCTGTATTGTTCAGCCCATACATTCTTTTTTACTATGTAATTTTCAACTACTTTTGTGTTTAAGTTTCTTATTGCTACCACCATACCATAGTTCTGCATTTGGCCAATAAAAAATTCTATTTTTATTCCTTTTTAACCTTTTTTTTTTAATTGTGGCAAAATACACAAAACATAGAATTTACCATTTTAATAATTTTTAAATGTGCAGTATAGAGGGATTAAGTACATTCACATTGTCAGGCAGCCATCACCACTATCCACCTCCAGAATTTTTTCATCTTTGCAAACTGAAACTGTATCCATTAAACACTCCCCATTTTTCCCTCCCCCTAACTGCTGGCAGTCATTCTAATTTGTCCATGAATTTGACTATTGTAGATACCTTTAAGTGGAATCATGTAATATTTGCCCTTTTGTGTCTGACAAAGTTCACTTACATTGTTTTCAAGGTTCATCCATGTTGTAGCATGTATCAGAATCTCATTCCTTTTTAAAGCTAAATAGTATTTCATTAAATATATAACAATGACATTTTGTTTATCCATCCAAATGTTGATGGACATTTGAGTTGTTACCCCTTTTTGGCTATTGTGGAATAATGCTGCTATGAACATTGGTGTACAAATAATCTCTTTGAGGTTTTGTTCTCAATACTTTGGGTATATACCCATAAGTGGAATTGTTGGATCCTATGGTATTTTATATTTAAACTTTTTGTTAAATTTTTACCACTTTTTAAGAAGAGAGTGGGGGCGCCTTGGTGTCTCAGTCGGTTAAGCGGCTGCCTCAAGGTCCCAAGGTCCTGGGATCGAGCCCCGCATCCGGCTCCCTGCTCAGTGGGAAGCCTGCTTCTCCTCCTCCCACTCCCCCTGCTTGTGTTCCCTCTCTCGCTGTGTCTCTTGCTGTCAAATAAATAAAATCTTTAAAAAAAAATTAAAAAAGAGAGTGTTTGTTTTTGAGAAAGACAGACACACCCAAGCCGGTGGGGTATGAGGGGCAGTGTGGAGAGTGGAGGAGCAGAGGGAGAGGGAGAGAGAATCTTAAGCAGGCTCCACACCCATTGTAGAGCCCCATGCAGGGCTTGATCTCGTGACCCTGAGATCATGACCTTAGCCGAAATCAAGAGTTGGATGCTTAACTGACTGAGCCACCCAGGCACCCCAGATGTTTACCAATTTTCATTTGGCAATTTTATGTTTAACTACTATACTGTTTTCCATAGTTGCTACACTATTGTACATTTCCATCAGCAGTGCACACGGGTTCTGATTTCTCCACATTCTCACCAACTTTTTTTTTTAAATAATAGCTGACTTCTAATAAGTGTAAAGTAGTAGCTCTTTGTAGTGTTGATTTACATTTCCTTTAATGATTTGTAATGTTGAACATTTTTTCATGGCTTATTGGCTATCTGTATCTTTGGAGAAATATCTGTAAGTTTTTTTGCCCATTTTTGAATTGGGTTGTTTTTTTTTTTTATTGTTGAGTTGTAGGCATTCTTTATAAATTCTGCATACCTGATCAGATACATTGTTTGCAAATATTCTGTACTATCTTCATGTTACCTTTTCACTTGCTTGATTGAGCCCTTTGATGCACAAAAGTTTTTAATTTCGATGAAGTCCATTTTATGTTTTTTTTTCCTTTGTTGCCTGTGCTTTTGGTGTCCTAAGAAATCATTGCCAAATCTGATAGGGAGCTTTTCTACTATGTTTTCTTCTAAAGTTTTTAGTTTCAGCTCTTAGTTGAGGTCTATGATCCATTTGGAGTTAATTTTTCTATGTAATATAAGATACGGGTCCAGTTTTATTCTTTTCCACATTTTGCATTGATATCCAGTTTTCTCAGCACCATTTGTTTGAAAAGATTGTTCTTTCCTAATTGAATAGTCTTTTTTTTTTTT